CATGTATTTCCCTATAAGGTCTCTTTCTTCTCTTTAGACTCTGTAAGTCCATGCATGTGTGAAAGAGAGATGAAAGAAAGATTTTAGGCAAGTCACTATGTTTTCCTTTCATTTCCACTTCAGCTATAAGGCCTCTGAGGAAAAAAAGTAGAGATTTTGTTTGGTTGTGGTCTGTGCTGGAAGGAGCTGGGACTCCAGGTACTAATTTGATACAAGTAAAGGAAAAAAAGCCGCATTCCTATAAATAGAATAACATAGAAGGAAGGCATAAATATGAATGGTACCATTTTAACTCTTGGTCTTGTTTGTCAAAGACAAACATGCTGTAACTGATCAAATACTGAAATGTTACATGGCTGCAGTGGACAGCTACAAAATAATGAAAACGCTATTTCTTAACTCAGTGAAGACTCTTCAGGGCAACAGGTGCATCCATTGTAGCTCATATAGTATGAAGCAAAATTACCATCAAGGGATGGTCCTGACCATTCACCAATGGCTTTATTTGTAATATATTATGCATTTATAGATGTATTATGTAATTGAAAGGTTAATTTCACTTGACAAACAAGGAAATTCAGCAAAAAGTGCATATAACTGCCTTCTACCTTTTGTGTGGCTGGACATCAGTCAGTGCTGTGTCAGGACAGATAGCCAAAGAGTAAAGCCAAAACTCTTTAAAATAAATGATTGAATACCTAAATTCAATGGAAAATGGTAGATGTTAAAGAAAGTCTGCCCTTAAAAAGAGCTTTTCTTACCACAGCTACTTGGTTTAAATTATTTCAGAGTTCAATTTTTGGAGTAGAAACCACAGAGAGTCGCCTTCACTCAGAGTGAAATCTGAGGCCTGAAAAAAAGACATTCATCTATTATGAACACAAAATTGGAAAAACAAACCTATGGTTCCTGTATTGCTTTATATAAATTCTAGTTTTATTGATGATATGAAAAACAGCATTAGAAGAACCTTGGCTGCATCTCCATTATACTTTTGTAGGACAGCCAAACACTTTACTCACCTATATCTTCTGGGTTCCAAAACCAGTTCTAATATAAAGGAAAAAATGTACAAAAATTGACATTCAGTTTTCTTAATATTTATTTATAGTGAGTAGCACTTGGAGAGGATTCAACAATATCCTGAATAAAGATGTTTTCTGACAGTTGATTTAAGTTTTCTCCAGAAAAAACAGTGAGGGGCCTAAAGTTCAATGTGCAATGCCCAAATCATTAAGAACTTATCAGAGAATCCTTTTGAACAACTGCTGATTGGAAATGTATAATCATCTTTCTTCTTAGAAACACAGGCAAATTCAAATTATAGCAACTGTTGTTTATCAAATGTTTGGATTTTCATTAATATGATCAACCAACAGTGAATTGCTAGCTGAAATGCTGAGAGGAAAAATCAGTTATAAATTCCTCCTTTACCTATGTATATTTTTGAGGTCCTTTCATTATAACTTTAATAACAAGAAAGGATTTTCTCTTTCTTCCCACTAAACCTACATAAAATGTTATCTCTGCTGCAGTACATATGCTATTTTAATTGCATTTCATTGTTGTCAAACCTAATTTATTGCATGTTAAGTCTAATTATATTAGCGCTGGGAGCTGAATCAGTGGTCACATGAGAGAATTTGGCAAAATATACTATTATGCATAGTAAATCCAAAAGTGTTGGTTTTTTCCTATGTCTTGAAGAAGGTCTGTTTTATTTTAAGAATGAGTTGCCATTCAAGACATAAATGTTATATCTAGTAAGTGTATTGCAGCCTTTTTTGAGAGTACTTTATTTCTTCTGTACAGCAAAAAATTACAGGTTCAAATTATACACATCATGGAGTGGCTTTTAAGAGAAAGCAAATGTTTGCTAAGTGATTAACTGACAAAGAATCATAGAGTCATTAAGTTGGAAAAGACCTTTAAGACCATCAATCTTTGGTCCTATTCTGAAGGATACAAAACAGGTTTAGCTGGCCCAGTATGATGTAAGACGCTGAAATGTTTCCTGTGTCTTCATTGAGAAACTTTTTATATTGAGCGTCACAAAAAAGGCAAAACCAAAAGCACACAAACAAACAAACAAGCTCACCTAGCCTTTTCCAGCAGCTAGTCCATTCAGAAAGAAGACCTGTTGAGTATTTGGAAGTAGTAAAACCAGTAGCCAGAACCTAACACTGCTTTCTGAAGTTAATCTTAGTAATTATACTCATATCCATCTCTCAAGCATTTCTTCCTCATCTATGAAATAGTTACCTAATTCTTTTGCATGAGCTATGTATGTGAGCAACATGGCCTGCTGCAGGTGGAAGTGATGGTGGAGCTCATCTAAAACTAGGATTGTGTCTGGCGCATGCTCTGAAGCCAGCTTTTTGTTCATCTAGTTTTTCTGGGCTTTTTTGTTTGATTGGACTTTTTCCTCTTAAGAAGAGGGATGCAGCTTAGGCATGTCAGCTGGTCAGAACAAAACTGAAGAATACATGGATGATATCTAATTTTGGTAAAACAAATATGAGAATGCAGCCCTCCCTCAAGACCTGTGAGGACTCTGGTTGTTGATCAGGACAGACAAATGGCATTTTCCTTTGCTATCAGCTGTATGGGGAGGAGGAACTTTGTATCAGAAATGAAGGGCAGGATTAATTCAAGTGAAAGACCTTACAGGGAATACCTGTCTTGTAGCCCTCATGGTTACGTGCTTCCAACAGAAAAAAAATAGTGTGTGGATTCATATTTTTTCAATTGGTGAATATCACATGCTGGAAGGGTTTCAGTAATCTAGAGTTCACAAGACAAAGGCACCTAGAGTTCTTTCATTGTTAGAACACACAATTGCAAAGTCTTCATTTTCAAATTGAAATATACAAATGCCACAGTCTCCTGGCCACACAGAGAAAAAGAGAAAGTAAGACATCCTACTGATGGGATCCTATTACACCAACTGGTGTTCCACTTGGATCACAACACTTTAGTGTGAAAGGCTGTAAAGGAAAGAAGCGTGATTCCTGCACCTAACCAAATAATTTGTTGTAAAACTGTGAGAATATTGTTTAAAATAAAATCCTGATTAGAAGTAAGTGAACATTTCTCACCTTTCTGAACAAACTGTTTTGGTGGTTAATTAAACCTATTGTTACAGTGCAATTTAGCAATATTTTGGATTTTGTGCAATTTTATCATCAGCATGGCTAATAGTCATATGGGAGGCAAACAGTATAATAGAAGTTATTATAAAAAGGTGGAGGGTGCTGTCACCTATGTGTAAGGGATAATAGGATCAGCTTCTCACATGTTTTTGTCTTAGAGTGAGAGGGATGTCATATGGAACATTTAAAGATCTACCCCTCCCATATGTGGTACAATGAATCTTCTGTTATGTGTGCTGTCCTTGAGGAGGCAGGAAAAAAGGAATAGCGAAAATGGTAGTGAATGTCTTGTAAACAGGGAACGACATCATGCTAATTTGTTGCAAATGGCATCAAAATATGTTGATGGGGGAATATTTTTGGAAAATTGAGTTTGGACATTAAATGTTTGTGTCTTGAACAATTATTTTTTTCATGATGAATAAGGTTTTTTTTGGCAAAAAGATTGATAGGGTGCATGAGTTCGACTTTGAGCTTATGTCAGAACTTACAACAGAACTTAATTTCTCTGTTACTCCTTCTGTTGGGGAAAACAGTTTGTTTCTTGCTTCCTTTCAGAGGCATAAAGTGCTGGAAGAGTGAATATATATATGCAACTCTTCTGCAATTTCATGTTACCCTCTGATGTACAGGACTTGAAGGGAGGGAACATGACCATATGGAAATGGCTTTCTTATCCAAGTGGAAACAGTTTAGTCAGCTTGCAGGAGGGGTCATAAACCCCTCAAAATATTTCTTAAATAATACAGTAGAGAAACTCACAGAGCTGTAGTTTAATGGCCATTAATTGCCTCTGCTGTGCATTCAGGGTCAGGATACATGGAATACATATGCTTGTATTATGAATGGAAGGAAAAAATGTCTTCTGAGCAAAAGAAAATCTAATGTTAATTAAAATTTTCCAGGGGTTGGCTTGGATAATTCTTCTTTTGTGTTCTTAAGTCTCTTTTGATTTTAATTGCATGACAAAACATTGACTGTAAGTGTAATGTTAGCAAATGTTTATATTTGATTACAAGCATCTGTGAATGCTAAGTCAAAGAATTGAATTACTTTAATTGGGGTGGGTTTGTTTTCTGTTTCTTCACGAGGTTTTTTGTATATTGGGGATTTTTTTCCCCAAGACATCCACACTGGTAATAAAGCTTGTACTGTCAGTATGCTGAAGGTCATTCCTATTATCTATTCAGTAAGATCTGCTCCCCTTTAGGTGAAAAAAAAATCAACTGAGCATACCTAAAAACGTCTAGAAAATCCTATTACACTTACTCAACTCCAGTTATGTATTTCAGATTCACATAGAATTCAATGAGTGCTCAAATCAAATATGAACATTTGTAGCAAGTTTCCAATGTTATGCACAGGGTTTCCCTCCCTCCCCCTTCCTGTGCTGTCTTAGAGAAACAAGGAAATTCTTCTCAGAAATGGCAAAGGATAAAATGATATGAGTAACATTGAAACTTACCTAATACTGTGTGATATGTTTTAAAACTGGAAACAAAGGTAGGGTATGTCTTATCTGTCTGTCGTGACTCCCCGTGCATCTGTCTGTCTCTCTAGAGCAAGTCAATAAAAATGATTAGAGCTGGCACCTCACAATCGTACACCCTTAAAGCATGAAGCAATAATACTGTGAAGGAAATTTTTTTTCTGACCTTTTCAAATTACATCCAACTGTCTAGGGAATTTCTCAGTGACTAGAGGTAATAAAGTTCAATCCGTTTTGCCGGTCGGCTTCAAATTTAGCTCCTCAGAAGCCTTAACTTATCTATTCTTTTTATCTTGGCCTTGGCATCTATTCAGTACAGTAATCCATGCATCTAATCTTTTTTTTCTCTCCCCTCTCAGGTTTAGCTGGTGGATCATATTGTGAAAACTGCAGCCATGAAAGGCCCTCCATTTAGTGCACCCTTCAAAACGAAATGCTAGCATGGGAGGCTAAGCTGGTATGTTGCCTTTGAGAGGCTCTTGTTGAATTTAATTAGCTTTTAGATTTCATCTCCATCTCGCATCTCTGCTTTCACCATTGTGTGTGATTTAGGCTTCACTGACTTCCATTATTTAAAACTTTTCCAACTTAGCTGTGCCACTTTAGAATAATGAGGGAAAAGTAAAGTTTAAAGTTCATTGTCTTAAATTGATTTCTAATTAGTTTTTATGATATGAGCTCAGAAACAATAGAGACACAGCTGCTCAGTAAGTTAGGATTCAAGTGACAAAGACAACCATTTCATCATGTCTGGTTTCTCATTGCACTCCATGAAGTACTCCACAAGAAACAGGTAAAGAATGTTTTTTGTGAAATATTTCTTTAATTATTTAAATTTATAAAAAACTGGGCTTTACTGCTGTCTCTTCCCTGAAATATTGAGTCAGTGTTTAGATATATATGTGATCTGCTAATGAATGATCTGCAGAATATTTAAAATGCATGCATACCTAAAAGCACCTGTAAAACACTTCCTTTTAATCGTGCAAGGAATACATTGGAAGACATATGTCTCCCATGTTAGCTATCTTAATAGAGTTATAAGGAAAAGGAGCAGCTACAAAATGGTTTGATAAAGATAGGAGGTTTGATTTTTTTTTCCTTTTTTTTTTTTCCTGAATTTTTCTTGATTTTGATTCTCTCTTCTGAAGGGAAGGGAAACATGGTCAGATGGGTAAAGTACAAAATTGGGAGTTTCTAGATCTTGACCCTGTATGTAAATGGGCCCCTGCCAGGGCTGTAATGTTTGTCAAGTCACTCAATCACTTTGTACAATAACCCTGGCTATTGTCAAAAGCTCTCAGGGAGTGCTCAGCAGAGGATGAGCACAGGGTAGAATCTGACTATTTCACTGTGTTTAATTGATTCAAAATGAATCTAAAATTAAATAGGTTCATTTTTAATCAAAATATATTGTGCTCCATTGATACTAGTCATGTTGAAAGTGGGATAATCAGTAATCTGAAGGCCTTTCATGCCTGAAAGAATGGCATTCTCAACAAAATTACTGAGGATATCTTAAATTCTGAAATTAATTTAGGAAAAACAGTACCCCACATTGGTAAGGCTTCTCACATTCACAGGTATTTTTTAGTGTCCTTGCTGTCACTTCCTGAAAAGAAATGTTGCTAAATTGACAGATGCAGTTATAATTTTAATCAAGCAGTAATAAGCATTTCAAAATTCTTTTATTAGTTTAGTGTAGAAGATAACATACCTAAATTTGTAATATGCTAGGTCGTGTCCTTGTTTCAGAGATAATATGGAGGGACATAATAGAATGTACATGAACACTCAGCTTGGTATTAAAATCAAGTTAAAGAAATGTTTGTGGGGATGTGTTCATTTACTGTCACAACTTGGAAGCTCTGTTGATAGAGTTATTTTTTAGTAGAATCAACTGCTTTTCAGTCTACATGAATTAGGCTTCTCCTGATACTCCAGCATTCAGGTTGGTCTCTAGATACGGAGACAAGCAACCCAAAAGGCTCCATAGTTTACCAAGGATCAGAGGTCTGAGAAATACTTAATGGAAGAAGCAAGTTTTAGCTTCTCAAAGCAATGTCACTGTTGCTATATCTATATATAATTTTTTTTCAGTAAGTGTTTGAAAAACATACCATAAATATCTCCCATATACTATAAATATCTCCCAATGCAAGTGGGATATTAAGGTGGTGGCAATATGAATTTTCTTTCAATGAACAAGTTCCTATTTCCAAAATTCTTTCTAATTTGCAAATCTGAATACTGGGTAGCAGCAGTTCTGCTGACAGGTTTTTCTATCATACTGATGGTTTTTCAGCTCAAAAGTATTGACAATTAACTTTAAGGAGAAAATATTTTTCTTATTTATTTATTTCAATTCCATTCAGCACACTTTATAGTACATAAAAGGATCTGTGTTGTGATATCCAAATGCTTACATTGCTTTTCTTGGAATGTCTGTATGGACAACCATGAAGCTAAAAGTATTGTTTTCCACTTGGTATGTAGCTATGTTTTACTTACTTACCTGGTCAAAGCCAGGCATTATGGATTGCTGAAGCCCTCAACACCTCAGAATGATATTCTAGCTTTTGTTTTTACTGAGGAATATTGAAATCTTCTTTGCAAACTAATCCATTGCTTAAAGTAGTTAATTAAAAACAAACAAACCACAAGTGTCTTTCAAATCAAACATACAACATTATGTCTTGTAGTGGGAAACAACAGATGTCCTGATGCTTTCCTGGTTTAATGTCTTTATAGCTTTTCTTTCTGTTCTATCTTTCCTGATTTTCATAAATAGGGAGTACAATAATAGTATATTAGGGATAGGTATATGAAAAATGGTGTTTCAGCTTTCCTTTTTCTTCAGTTAGAAAGTACCTAGGTTAACAAATCTTTTTGTAGATTGTGTTAAAGTAACCCCTGTCCATGCATTAGTGGTGTTAAAAGAGGAGTTTGCCTTGTACATATCAAAGGGATTGTGTGAATGTTACTGATACGCTGTTGTTCAGTACTATTTATATTTTCATCATTAGTACATAAAGTCTTATTAATTAACTCTCTAATTTCCCAGAAAAAGCATGGTAATTTGTTGAACTGGTTGAAGGAAGGAAAAAAAAAGCTGACCAATCTGGCATTGTAAGTTAATAGTATAGAACAAAGCATAGTCATAATTAGTCGAGAAAAGGACTTTCCCTGTTCATTCCAGTTCATAATAAAAAGTGCCTCAGCAAAGTGACTTAGAAAATAATACATTCAGACTGAGCAGAATTACTGCCTAGCAGATTCTATTTATCTGTAGCTTAAAAAGCAGCTGTGTTTTTGTAAAAAGCAATGAATGTGGCAGTCCTACTTAAAGGTAGAAGAGAAAGAACACCCCTTGTTTTGTAATAAGGGGATTTTCAATTTAAAAGAGAGAGAGAGCCTGTTGTGTGAAGTATGGTTATTACATTCACTGTATTCTATCTCACCCACCAGGAGGCTAATAACGAGGGAGTCAGTGGAGGAGACCAATGCCACAAGGGTTATCTCACAGCCCCAGATGCTGGATAAGTTGAAGGAGGCAGAATCGCTTTTGGATGACATTCAGGAAGGCCTTGAATGATTATCTGGTGGAGTAAAGACTATTCTTTTCAAGGTAAACAGTCCATTTCATCTGTCTGCTGTTGTTGTTGGTGTAAAATATGTTTGTATAAATACTTCTAACCTTCATTTTTATCATTTTCCAGGTTTTTTTCCCTAGATGCTGCAATGATCTATTAAGAATCCTTTTTGAGACAAAGGATCCACTCCACCTCCAACCTAAGGAAATGCTTTGAAGGAATTGACAAGCTCACTTTTAATCACAAGAGAGAAATTACCCACATGGAGTCAGCAGAAAATGAAAAAGTAGAGCTCGTGCTGCTAATAATTCCAGCAAGTGCCAAGGGGCTAGTTGAGAAATGGCTTCATGAGGTGAATATCTTTAGCTCTTACTTAGGGTTTGGTTACTGTATGATCATTTTCTCTTTTAGGAGCAATGAATATTATAAGTGTATACTAAATAGCTCTCTGAATATTTGTCAAGATGTTGACAGATTTCAGCCTTATTGTTGTTATTTATTGCAACTAATTTAGCATCTGCAAACATGCAGAAATTAATTCTAATAAAAAGCTCTCTTGAATCAGGCTGTCAGCAGAAGTTGGTCTGTGTCTGAAACCATATGTGTGAATATATGTTTGAGTCTACATGTATGTGTTTTTGTGCTTTCGTGGTGTAATGTCTGTAGTTCAGGAGGATAATATGTAAAAAGTAATCAAAGAAATGTAAGATTTTAAATGCTTCCCTCCACCCTGCAGAAAGTGTGTCCCATTGTGTTGGAGGGGTTTAATATCCAATCATTTTAACAAAAGGGAAGAGAAATTATGTCACTGATAACATCCTAACCTTTCCCCTTCGGGCCTCTAATCTAAATTCATTGGTTTCAGCACGAAATTAGTTTGGTGACCTTTTTTGTTTGCTTTGTTTAACCTTCCTCTCCCAGTGGATGGGAATGGGACCTTCCATTCTTTTTTCTTTCTGGGCACATTTCTTCCATGTGCTTCCCTTTTTCCTGGGGCAGGAGCAGCCCCAGGAATTTCCCCTTTGTTCACTGCTGCAGGTACTGGTCTCGTCCTCAGGGGCTTGTCCCGGAGTGCTCCCTAGGCAAGGATAAGTGACAGGGACCAGCACCCAGCGCCAGCAGGGGAAGTGAGGAGAGGCTGGGGATTGCTGTTTGTACAGCCAGATGGTTGGGCAGAGACTGGGGGCAATCCCTGGGCCGTGAAACCTGGAGCAGGTGGCAGGTTAAAGGTGTTTGGCCCTATTCTTATCGTGTTCCTACTGGCTGTGTGAGCAAAGCCAGGCTGCATAAGCCCGCTCGTGAATCCCCTTTTCCTACACACTGAAGCAGCAATGTGACAGCCTTGGATGGAGGCCCTTTTGGGCGCGACTGCACATGGTTTAAAGTGATCCAGCTGCATCATTTTTCAGGATAGGGCAGGGAGAAGGGAAGGGGATGATTTAGGCAAGCCCAAACACTTCTTACCCTGCTCTCTGTGTCAAGCCACTAGCTTGGTTTTGGACTAGTTTGCAGACAAATTTGTCTTCCATTAAAAAAAAAAAAAAAAAAAAGGGACAGTGGAAAAGTAGCTGTCCTGAGGAGAAACCCAGATTCTCAAACCTATGATATCAATTTTAGTTTTCAGTTTCTTCCATATATGAAACAGGGTTGAGGGAGGTGAGCAGCTGTGTTTATTTTAATACATCTATTTTAACCCTCACCTAAAAACAAATGGGAAGGTTTGGGAGTGCATTAATCTGGATCAGATTAGTATCTCTTTCTCCCTCAAAAGTGCAACCTGAGATTAATGAATATAAACTAGAGTTTCATATGCAGTCTTTAAGTCATTTGCATGTTTTATGCATGATAATTGAATTTATTTATGCACTTCCTTTCATTTAATGATTTCTCACTCTTTTCTATGCTATCAACATTATATTATGCAAGAAGTTGGATTTGGTAGGCAAGAAAGGATAGCAGTATATAAATCAAACCCGAGTTAATTTTGAGTTCTAGTGTCACTACTAGATCAGAATTAATATTGGTCCCATGCCAGTGGGTTTACATGGCTGCGAGAATGTAAAATATTTTGGTAAAGCAGAGATTTTAGCTTGAGACATTTCTGATGTGGCCTAGTTTGCTTGCAAGTGCACAAGCAAAATTATTTTCAAATGGCAGTTAAATTATTGTATTGACTTTTCAATGACCCTAGAGACTTGTGTTTCTACTTGGCCAATTAGTAGTAATAAGAAGATGAATAGTAATTACACTAATAAATAACTGTGTTCAGACCAGGACCTCAGTATTATAGTCTGGGTTAGAAAATAAGGATATTTTATAATTTGTCTCATTTGGTCTTTCATCAGGAGAAATCTGGACTTTGGAGCTATATAGTAAATTTGTCATAGCCAAGAAGGTAAAAGTCCTCGGGATGAGAGGGTCATATTTGACAGGAGCTCTGTGACAGTGGCTGTTTCAGTGTCATAAGTAGGGAATCTTGTTCTGCTTCTGCAATTAAGCTCAGATTTCTTAAAGATGTCTTAGTGTTGGAGTGCAAATTTTTAATAATGCATGCCAGGAAGTTACTAAGGAAGATTAGGGAAAAGATGCTGGTAGTGTGCTTTCATAGCGTTTATCTATACCAGTTTCTTTTGTGTCTCTTGTCTTTCCTTATGTCTTGAAAGATGTATGTGGAAGTGATATTTTTCTGTGGCGTCCTGTCTTTTATCAGTGAATTAAATGGTTGTGTCTTGTGATTGTTTCTTGATTCTCGTAGGTAGGAATGTGTTTAAAGGCTAAAGGTTTGCTAATTTGTGATGTAACCATTTCAGTGTCTTTCTTGTCATTGAAATGTAGTTTAAAATGTTCAGTAATGTAGCATGAAATCATTGGTTAGTTTTGGAATGGTGATGAAATCATGTGAAGAAAATAAGTATTGCATCTGATCAAGATAAATTCACTCTAGTGTTTTATGGCTTTTTATTCCTATGTGATAGTAATAAAGTCTCATGTAGGGATGGAAGCCATGAAATACATTGTGAAAAATCATCAACTCAGATGGGGCCATCAGGATAGCATGCTGTAGTTGTAGAGTTATGGAGAATGATTGGAAGATGGTTTAGTGTGTCATCACTTTGACTACCATGTTTTTGCATTTTGCTTCTTCATCCTTCACCCATGTAGGTTGATGAGAGGAAATCAGTTTGTAACGAGATGATCCATCTTTACATCAGTGTTCAGTATTTAAATTGTTCATACATCTTTCATTTTCTGCCAAAGATAACACTGTATATGAAACACTTAGCTAAGAATTTAATATAGCTAATAAACACATGCCAAAATGAATACAAAGAAATGCCAATGAATTTCTAAATGCTTGGAAATAAGGAAGGAAACAAAGCAAGGTCTACCCTGTTAGCAACTGGTCCAGACTCTTTATTTCCATATTTAAGAGCAAATCTGAGATGTAACCAGGGATTTTAAACGAATTATTTTTTCTACTTGCATGTCTTTCTGAAAGTGCTTTGTTCTTTTCCTCTCTGGAACTGGGATGAAGGCTGATAGTGTTGGGCTCAGAAAAAAATTCCTGACAAATTCCTTACAGTTCTGCTATTTCACATATTGCCTTACTGGGCTATCTCCTTTGCTTTTGTATACCAGTTTCCTTTGTGAATATTTTGGGGAATGTTATTTATTTCCAATTTTTCTGTTGTAATATTTCTCTGAAGCATATGTTAATAAAACATTATTGATTTTTTTGCTACTTTGACTCCTTTATTATTTCTCTTAGGTATGATTTTTCTTCTCTATCTCTGCTAAAAATACTGACTTTATTGTAACTAAGGTCATCTTCTGGTGAAAAGCCCCAGCAATAATTAGGCAGAATGTATATTTCCCATTTTAATATGAATTTTAATTTCTGCTTTAAATCAAACAGCACATGGAGAAATTAACCACAATTAAATTCCCAGATGTTGTGTGGCAATTATTTCAGTCTTACTTGGGCTTAAAAAACGTAGACACAGGTTTGCTTCAATGGTGCCATGTGAAAGAAAAGTGTAAAAACCTATAAATCACATTATCTTCAGACTCCTATTCAAAGAAAAACTATTTTCCTCCTCATGTGTTAACAAAACTTATTCCAATAGTATCCAGGGTGTACAGCCAAGAGAATAAGCTGTGTTTATTTTTCAACCTTTTATTTGGCTGAGTTAAAGATTGTCTTCGTTTTTTCAATACCTACTTTGGTTGTAACTTTTCACAGACCTGAGACAAAGTCCTTTAAACATGGGCCCCTGTACTCTTTTCCTCCATTTCTACCAATTTAATGATGAATTGCAATTAAAGTATTCTTTTGGTAAATTTAATTCATCTTTACTGCAAACTATACTTTGAAAAGTACTCTACAATCCCACCTGTAGAGTGTATTTTCAGTACTGTATTTTGTTTCCAAATTATTTCAAAAGTTACAGCGCTCTGAAATAACACCAGAGGTGAGTTCATCCTGGGAAACAAGTCACTAGAATGGCCCAAATGTGCTTCCATAACTCTCTTCATGACATGTTTGCAGATTTAACTCCACTGACTACTTCAGAAGCAGCTGCAAGTGCCCATGAGAGTTCAGCCCTGGAGTTAATGAGCAATGGCCTGTCCTGGAGTGGTCACTCCTTAATGTGTTAGTGGAGGAGAGAGTGTTACTTTGGGATTATATTTTCTTTCTAGTAGCAGTTCATCCGTAGATGTTTCAGATAACCGTCTTCAGTCTATTCATTTCTAAAAAAAAATTTAGTATTTATATCCTAATTATTTTCCTTTCCTTCTGCCTCCAGGGTGGAGCAGTTCTATTTTTTTTTTTCCGAGCAAGGAATACGCTTTCTTATATATCCTGAAATATGATATATTCAGATATACTTCTTTGAATTATGCATTGTAAGACTGTGACAATCAGATTTTAAGTGACACCTTGCCATGATGGCAAAGAGAGTATTTTTCTTGTCAGTGTCAAATTGAGTAAAAAGTGTATATGTTTAAAATGTAGTCAGTTGTCAGAAAAAAGCAAGGTCTTGTCACAAAGATGAAATGTTAAAGTTACCTCTTTGTTTAATATATTGTAAATGTCCATGTTACGTGTGTTCTTAATAAATTAACAGCCTTAGTCAAGAGCAAGAAAATGTCCTACTTATACCTCCAAAATACTGTCTGAGGTAGTGGACATACCAGCTCTCAGGAGAAGCAGCATCTTGGTAATCTCAGATCCAAGCAGGATTTCCTAAGTCGTTCTTGGATAATGCAAAAAGCTTGAGGGTCACCTGTTCCTAATTAGCTACTTGAGCAGCTAAATGTTTCTAGAGGATTTTTTTTCAACTTTGAAGTTAAACTTTGTCTTGACCTGAGTTTTCAATAGATTTGGTCAATCCCATGTGTTGTTTTAAATGAGTTAAAACATCAGCAAGAAGGGAAATTCCAAGAATCATTACAGAAAAAAAATGTTTGATTCCTATTTGGGACAATAGGTTTTTTACAGTAATTTCACTTGTGTTTCTTAGTGTTTAGGGTAATTTTTCCTACTTCCACAAGAAAATATGGTGAGGAGGGTGTCTCCCTGATACTTCAGCCCTGGAAGCACTTGTGCATCTGAAAATTGTTAGAGGGGGTATGTGGGGGTGCCCTGTTCTGATAAAATCTGGAGACTGACAGTACTCAGAGGTGATACAAATTTGGTGCTTCATCTCTGGCCAAAGTTCTTGCATTTTCTGCAGAATTTTCTGTGAGTGCAGGGGAGGTGCACTCTGTGGTCATGCTGAGGAGCTCCCCACTTATGATCCATTTCAATGCATTTCTGTGGGATATTTTTGCTGTCTTCATTGTAGTCTTTTTCCATTGGCAATAAGACCAGACTAGGAAACAAAATGTAGGGGGACAGGGAGAGGTAGGTAGGCAGTGGAGATGGGGAGCCAAAGAAAGGATCAGGGGGTTAGTGAAAGCTGCATGACTGGATTCATTCCAGCCCTCCTCTGCAGAGAAGCTTTTGTGAAACTCACTGTGGCTCCTGAAAGGAAGGTCCCTATTCATCTGGCCGCTGAAGGAGATCATACTAATAGGCTCCAGGATCACAAAGACGCTCACCACCTGCTGCCAGGAGTGCAGGTCAGGCTTTGTTTGCTGTGCTGAATGCTTTTTTTCTTTAAAAACTGCAGTGTAGGTATATATTTGGCGGAGTTTATGATTCTTTCATGTCAGCATTTCAGATTTTAAAAGATAAAAAAGAAAAGCAGGTACTGTCCATATAGTTGCAGGTAGACATAGAACGTATTTCTTGCCACTGACTCAAGGTAGAGCTCAAAAGAAATTTCTGGAATGTGCAAAAGTGTAGATAATAAAACCATATCTTAAACAATCTGATTTAAAACTAAGACATTAAATTTAATGTATTTTTATTTTCATAAATAAAATGAAATTTTATTTCATTTTTATTGAGGATTATTATTTTGGCAGACAATATTAGTATACCCAACTTTTCTAAACTAACAATGTATTTAAGTGCTCATTGAACTTTTTACCTTAAAACTTTTGCATTTAATTTCACATTAACAAAATGGATATTTAATTTTATTTGGCTTGTCAGAAGGAAAAAACAATCTACATTTGTAACAAGTCTATCAAATTTTTCCTTTGGGAGAAATAGAAAACAAATTACGTGTAATATAGAAAATGTTCAGTGTAGACTATTTCACATTCCCAAAATTTAATATATATTAATCCAGGATTCCCAAGATTGTTAACTTTGTCCTGACATAAATAACCAAATCTGAAATGTATACATCATAAAGAATATGTATTTGAAATCACAGGAGTTCTGCCATTGGTGTCTGAAGTGTGTAATGAGCCTTGTATGTGAAACAACAGACAGTGTCTCCTTTTTCTTACATGACCTCATGAATACCTATTTTAAGAAATAAATTTCTTTCTGTTTTGAGATAATAGGAAACTTTTGAAGTATACATTGTGATAAAAATTGAATTAAATCAGTGCTTAAAGCACCAAATGTAAACATCGAAGGTATTGCATGCTTGATCCAAGGAACACAGCTGCAAATCATTTGAAAACTAAACTGTATTTTTACATCAACACAGTTAGACAAAAATGCCTTATTAAGTAATTGCTATTGTGACATAAGCTTTGTGCAGTAGCTGAATTACTTGGCAGAGCTAAAACGTCAAGCTACCTTGGGAATCTACCGCATTCTTTAATTTTCTGATTGATTAAATGGATTGTTTGACATTTTGGCAGAGCTTTGAAATCACAGCATAACAAAGACGCCTTTCATCGCTCATTATTTGCTCTCTTCAGGCTTAGTGCAGATTCTTTGAAATGAAAGGTTTAAGGTGCTTCTTCCCTGGGTAATTTTTGTTCCAGTTCACATTTTTGCTAGGAGTGTCACATTTCCAACTTAAATTCCCTAGTGCCTAAATGCAGTTCCTTATAATGACAGTATAACCTATGGAGATATGTAATCTTGAAAAACACTTTTATATATCTCACAATGAAGAATTCAACACGACCTGCCTGCTATCAGAGAGGCTCTTAACCCTTCCACCACCGGCATTTTCTGGAGTGCGGGAAGCTGGGCAAAGTGGTGGTTGTTTGTGTTCAGGCTGGGACAATGTTCAGCTCCCTGCTGACCCAGGGGCAAGAAGACAACATCGTGCAGCAGCTTTGGGGGACAGTTCAGAGACAACCAGGTAGGTTGGAGGCCAATTGACATTGTCACCTTAGTAAAAGTCAGCAAATGCCCTGCCTAATTGCACTTCATGTCAGAAATGAGCAACAGTTAGACCAAATAATCTTACTTTCAACATAACTGCACAGTTCTCTCCACTGAAAAGCAGCTCATGAGGGTACCTACAGGCTTATAGGCAGTTCTGCACCATGCTGATTCTCAACCACTATTTGGTGGAGCTGGACAGCAAGCACATAGGTGAAGTGAGACCTCCAGCGTCTTCCACTCATGCATTTTAATGGCAGAAATCCTTGGGCATGCTGAGTGAGGGACTCCTCACTGGTTTTAAGCCTGCGTCTTTTCTAGTTCCACAAATAAGTCAAATTGCTTTGATAGTTACCCTCAGAGGGGTTTGTGTGTCATCCCTCACAGCTGTGGACAGCAGACTGGGGCTGCACAATCCTGGGGGCATAGCTGTAAGAATTCCATTGCCATGGAATAATTTCTGTTCCAAAAAATCCCTTCCATGAGCCTGCATCAGTAATGCAGTTTCTAACATACAGCAATATATTGACATGGTCTTCTGTGACTGCCAGGCATGCTCTCTGAGATGTGATGGGCTCGTGAACAGTTAGGATTGTGCACACTGCTTGCTATTCACAAAACTTCTTTCTAAGCATGATTTTCTATAATCCATCTCCATCTCTTGTGCTTTTCAAGACAGAGAAATACCTTTGAATATGGAAAAGTGGGGTAATAAACTCATGAAAATTAAGGTGCAATTCTTTCCTTTTCCCATACCATGGGAAGCAGAAATGCTCTTCCCCTGTTCAGTCACCAGGCAAATACAGATGTGTCTGCAAGGTATCAAGTTCTGCATGTGTGTATCTAAGAACCCACATTTGTTTTCAGTCATTACAGCTGCTTTAGAGGGGATGCTCATACCTGCCATGATTCCCTTCCCGAGAGTGCGAGCAGGATCCCAGTAATTAGCAATCTTTTTCTGAGGTTGTATCTTGAATTGGAATTTGTATGGTAGC